TAATAATTAGCAATTATATAATATAGTTTCGATTTATTTTTAAATTTCAACTCTATCATTCGAAAGAGCATAAAAAACTGACAAAACTCTATAGTTCCCATTTGGAAAGCAACGAATTTGGTGAGGTTTTCATGTGATTTTCAGAGTATGCTCACTTGTAATTATATATAGTATTCATTATTTTTAATAACTTCAGTGATGAAATGACACATGAAATACGCGAAAACCGGCGCATTTTAAAGAGCATCATTTGCTCTTTAAAATGGCATCTCACTGCTTCCTCTGCAATATTCTATCCAAATGTTATAACGTCTTTCGTTGTAAAAACTAATTCAAGTCATACTTTCCAGCAAATTTTTTGTTATTTTGCATTGTATATTTCGAAATACGTTATAACATTTGTATAGAATATTGCAGAGGAAGCAGTGAGATGTCATTTGAAAGAGCAAACGATGCTCTTTAAAATGCACCAGTTTTCGCGTATTTGATATATCGTTTCAGGATTGAATTCATTAGAAATAATGAATACTATATCTAATTACAACTGAACATACTCTGAAAATCACACTAAAACCTCACTAAATTCGTTGTTTTCCAAATAGTAATTATAGAGTTTTGTTCAGTTTTTTATGCTCTTACATATGTAGGAGTTGGAATTTAAAAATAAATCAAAATTTTATTAATTAACTGCTAATTATTATTAATTATAAACTATTAATTAACTATTAATTAATTAATTAACTGCAATAGAAATATAAATGCTTGTTACCAAAATGTAGCCCATGCAATTCTGCATCGAATGGTATAGAAAACATCTTTCAGATGTTGTGAAATAACGGAAAAATTAGCCAAATACTAAAAGTGTGCTAAACTTTCTCCCTACTTTTTACTACAGTGTTTACTATTTTGACTATAACATTGTCATTACTCAATGAAAATCAAAAGTTTTTTTTACCTAAATGATCAGCGAAAAAAGCTCTACAAAATTAGATATAAGAAAAATTTTTAGAACATCCTTATTATTCGTTTATGTGTAAAAATAAAAAAGGGCATGCTTTTTTAGGCCCTCACTGTATGATATGCCGTAATCATTCTATTTTAACTAGAAACTTTAAAAAAATCCATTGACAATGATATCATAAAAATATATTATGCAGATTGAAGTCAAAGCCGAAAAATATATTTATTTTATTTCAAACTAATATGAAAACGAAAAAAAAACACTGAAAAATGAGCGATGCAGTTGTATAAATTTGTTTAATGTTTTCTCAGTTTTACTGGCGCCCAATTCGACTGTAAACTAATTAATTTTCTGATACTGTTGTATCATACAGTAATGGACAAAAGTCTCGCTCCTAAACAAACATCACCAAATTAATTGATCAAATGAAAACATTTTTATTAGGTACCAGCTCATAGTGCACTCTAATCATTAGCATAATAAAAACAATCGTCTTGGCTTTCATCAACTTCAAAAATTCGGTCATTCATACTGTGTACAAGTTTGATTGCCAACTCTATTATTAGAACCTTCAATTCGTGTTTTTATCGCAGAAGACAATGATATGTAACTACGACCAATCGGTTTTATAAAACTCATTACTCATTATCTAGTTGATTGATAGTTTTGGCATATGTTTGGCGTTATTGTCTTCTTTCTTTTTCCACAGTGTCAAATCGTACTGAAATTATTTCCAAGATATTGACAAGAGATCACACTTGCACACGCTATTCATTAATTTTGCATCTAGACTCTATCTGAAACAGTCGACACGATCGAAACTTCGCCTAGATAAGCAGTCCAAAACATCAACTCTAATAGGATGCTTGTCAGTTCGCACAACCTTTTCTTCTCTCGTAAATTTCAAAGCTGTCCTTTGACGGAATTCAGACATATGGGGATCTCATTAGAAAAGATTATTTGGTACTAGTTCATAGTCTTGTGATGTTATGCTCATTGTAAACGATTCACTTGCTGATCTTCCACAAACAATAGCTTCGACATGGGTTTATTTTATTTCGCGTCTGCTTAGTTTAATCGCCATTGCACCACTCTTGCATTGAGCACAGCTCATTCTCACTTCAGTTGATTTGCAATAGGTGGGCTAATGACAAACGTCAGTTGTTCAGCAAGTGAAATTATTTGTGGATCTTGTTTCTGAGTCGTTGAACATGGTCGATCGAATTGGTCAGATCTTTTGACTGTTTCTATCTTGTAAGCTAATGTTTCATCACTGTCACGTCAGAGTGAAGTACTTTTGCCACCCACGCCCTAATTGAGCTTTGCAGCCAAAGAGTACTGCAATAAAAATATAATTTGGGACTGATGGTAGTGCACTGATAAAACCATATATCAAACGTATATCCGAACTAATGATTAACAACAATACTGAAAAAATGAACAGTCATTCTGATCCGCAGATGAACAGTGCTGCTTATTTATATTGGTTTTGATAGAAAGTTCTACTAACGAGGGAGCGTTCCCAAGTGTCGGAGCGATTTAGAGTCAAACTTTTGCACATTTTGTGGACCTTAATCAATTATGTCTACCATAATAAGAGTTTGTGCTCATAGCTTTTCTCAAGAGATCAAACGTTTTTACTGTTACAGCCATAAGAGTTATCTTTTCAAAGAAAAAATCACTATCTCAGTCAATATTAATTGCAACGAATTGAGATTTTCTTCATAGATAGTGGTGCTCATGTGGCAGATAATATGACAGTATGAGCACAAAGTAGCTTAGAAAAATAGAGCTATCATGTTTAGGAAATTTTAACGTTGCTCTAAACGTTAATTATCATGCTACTTGTTAGAATTATGAAACATACGATTAAAAATTTTAGAACATTGAGTACTTATGTCGCAATACACTTTCGAATGCTTGATAATTATGATTTGCTGTAATAATATGCATATTTTTCCTAATGTTCTTCTCCAAAATAATCAATTTATTTCAGTTTATATTGACTGAGAGAGTGATTTTTTTTTTATATAATAACTCTCATGACTGTAACAGTAAAAACGCTCGATTATCTCAGAAACAAGTTAGGAATGCGAACTCTTTCTATGATACATATAATTCATGAAAATATACAAGATGCACAAAGTCCTGACTCAAAAATACTCAAACATTTTTGGAATGTCTTCTTGCTCCGTAAGAAGATATTATTCTTCACNTTCTACAATGAACAGGAAAAATGAGTCTCTTATTATAACGACTCTTTTGATTATTTACCTCCTAAAGCTACAACAATAAAAAGAAGCGTTTATAAAAGTAGGATAAGGGTATGATCAGTAACTCACCTGCATAAGTATATGTGTAATCTGATCCAGAACTAGGCATCATTGCTGCTAATTCTGAGTATGATAAAGACGACAATAACGCAATAACCCCTGTAATAACAAATGAAATGATGACTGATTGACCAGAATATTTTGCAGCAGCTTGTCCACTTAGTACAAATATCCCAAAACCTGAAAAGACGATTCAAAACTCTTACTGAAGGTATTATTATTAAACTCACTCACCAATAGTGGAGCCAAGATCTATAGCGAGCAACTGAATCCAACTTAGATCACGTCGCAATTCATTTCTTGTATTAATTTTAGTTTGTAACTTGAGCATTGATTTACGTGCAATTAGTTGTTTGAAAAAACTTTAGTTGAAGATAGTACTTGTTTGCAAGCACCATGTTCTGATTGAATACTTGAACTGTTACCAACAGCTATATTAGCAGACAAGGATAGTTTTTGATCAATTGAAATTATAGTGTAGCCTCAAAGATTATCGTTTATTTATAAGCCCATAATAATGTTTATGCATAATATTAATGCTATATAGAAAGTATCACGATCGGTAAAAAAAATCAAATTTGAAAGGAAACAATAATTAAGCGTAATTCAATTAATCAGTCATGCGTAAAACACGCTGCTCGGCCAGCGGTAACTTAGTCTAGGCACAAAATTGAGAACGAAATTTACGATAGGAAAAGCAGTCTTTGTCGGCTGTCCTGGTTTTCGCTCTATCGAGTTTGATTGTGTATTCTCTCGTATGTATTTTCTCCAGAAAATGGTGAGACGATATTGCCTTAGTATGCATTTATCCGACTGTACGAACTGCGACCCATTATTCAAATATACAAATACGTAAATAACGAAAAAAATATTTTGTCTCTTTCGTTTCATTGCATAGGCACGGTGCTAATTGGAAAAAAATACCTTTAAATACTTGGCTTCACCAATCAACATTAACGAAGCGTAATTTATTTCATCATGTGTCCCATTGTTTTGGGACGATAGTCTTTTTTTCGAATGACTTCGTTCATTTGTAGATGTTAATTATTATTCTCTGAGTAAAGCAGTCAATAATGATTCTCCTCATTAGATAAAGATATTCCCGATGTTATACGAAATCGAAAGAAAAAACAAAAGCTTAGACAGATAGAAGTGGCTCTTTATTTTGTTTGACTTTTCTTCAATAGACCACTTATTACTGACTATAGATTTCGAAAAAATTGTAAATTAGTTTTTTATATTAAGTATATCATTAAAAAAAGCAATAAATTAATATGAATTAGAAAGACAAAAAGAAATAATGCTTTTAACCAAGATCGACATTTCATGCAAGTTTCAATTATACTTAGATGAATAATAAACTAAAAAAACATTTTATTGTATATTCATTCCCAAATTGAATCTCTTATTATACAATTGGTGGGTACGAACTAAGCTGTTCGATAACTATGTTCGAAACACATATGATATCTCGATCGTAATTTAAACAAAAAGTGGCACGCTATTTAATATGTTCGAATTTGAAGAACAGAAAAAAAAAGAATGAAAAGATCGCCTATGACTAACCAATTATTGCCATGCTTTACAAGTCGTTTGTTGATATGAAATAAAACCAATGGCAAGTTAATATAATTCCATAGAAAATCGACATCGATGTGTAGTAAACAGTATCGATAACAGTTCTTCATTCTGTATAGATAGAAACAATGCCAATACGTACTGGAAAAGTCACAGCAAAAAAAATTCCTATTCGACAACCGTCACCAGAAATACCTTCGCCTGTGAAAATTATCAAATCGAATATTACTGATGATAATACAGAAAATAAAATACCAATTGATGATATTGAAACAAAATATGAACCATTATCTATAGATTCTAATGAAAATAAAATAGATATTAATCAGATGACAATTATTTTAGCTAATGGTCAACCATTATTAACAAATTTTGAAGAAAAATATTTAATAGATACGATATTAAAAACATTAAATCAAGATATTGAATCGATTTTAGAAGAAAAAATTCATTTTATTCTACAAATGAATTATGGTTCACAATCATCATTATTTACATTAAATACACATTGGATATTTGATTTTATTCTGAAGCATTTTCAAACTTTAATCAATCATATAAATTCTTCACAATTATTCGAAAAATTTTTAAATAAAAAATTTGATCAAAATAACTCAACAATTGCTTTCAAACATTGGCAATTAAAAACACTTGTAAATGAACATTCAAAAAAAAAACAACAACAACAGTCGACTGTCTCACAAAAACGTCGAATGACTGTTCGAGGCGTTGGCTTTAATTAGATTGACTTTCGTTTATTGTTTTTGTGTTTCATATATGTCATTAAAATCAAATTCACATTAGAGTTTCGTATAAAGAATATATTTATCATATCTCTAATAAATCATCAAGGTAAAAGTAATCGAAGATCTTCTTTATTTGCTTACAAGACTTGTATTGAAAAATCTTTATAGATGAAATGTTAATAGAGTATTGATATAATTTCTTTTATAATCTTCTCCGAAATATTTTATGCTGATTTTAAAAAAAAGCAACAAATATCTTATTGATTTTCGATGTAAGATATTGTCTTTTTTCTCATTTCTAAAAGTACAGTTAGGTGCATCATTGTTGCTTTGATATACAAAGTTAATCATAAGTCCTTCTATGAGATATACATTTTCACAAATAGAAAATGATTTATAAGACTTCGATGATAAGCATCTTATATGGCATTATATCTATTTATTATTTTGTCTACTATAGTATAAAGAATTATCGAATGATAAGTAAGCTGATTATATGAATAGATCAAAGCTTAGAGTAGTTTTTGATAATCATAATGTTCTATTAACTATAATGGATATTATATTAGCAAGAAAAAATAACTTGAAAATACATGTATATATCAATCAATTATTTTCATATTATAATATTACCTTGATAAAAAATATAAAAATAAAAAAGGATCTTTTATTCCATGACTATTTTGATTGATATCATCATAACAATGGTAGCTAAATAATAAGTAAGATAGTAACTATTTGATTATAATCATAATAAGAATGACCTTTGTTAGTAAACAAACAATTCTTTATACAATTATTTCACATAAATTTTATTGAGACAATCAACCTTGTATTCGATACTAATTCATTATAATGAACGATATAATCATTATAACCAGCTGTTATATCCTAGTAGATATATAAACAAAAGAAAAGAAATGTCATATTTCCTAAGGGTGACCAACAAACAAATTTTTGTACTATTTATAGTCAATTGATCAAATTATAGTTTAATAAACGATTAGTAGCTAACATTATAGAAATTTTTTTTTTATTTTGTCATTGATATGTTTAATAACATATTTGTGTATTCATCCATCCACTTGTTTTACTGATGACGTCAATACATGCAATCATCATTTTCAAATGACATCATGCGTAAACATTAACTAAGTCGGGCAATAAATTGACAATTATTCGAACATAAAATCTTAGTTATTTGATCAAATAAATTATTTATTAAGTTAAAGATTTTTATTGAACGATTATGTCATTGATTTTTAGGAGGTCATAGAGACATTTTTTGTTGTTGTTTGTATTGCATTACGAAACCTTTTAACTGAACTTTATAGATAATTTCGAAAAAAAATAATGTATTGGTAAATTTTATTGAATAAATAATCCGTCGTTTAATTACTGAAAAAAAATATTTCTTTGTTTATTTTTTAGTATATTCTTTTTGTCATCCACTCAATTCTTTCCTTTTTTTTCTTTTCGCACGAATCAGCAATTTTGCTGCTTCGTTTGTAATCGTTATATTACACCTCAAGCACGCCTTTTCCCCTTCTCTTCTCTTATCTTTACAATATTTTTTTCCTCGTTTTACATTGACTCGTTGTTGTTATTCAACACGCGCACACTTGTGCTCTCATAGAAAAAGAACACCTATCTACGAAAGAGAGAGAAACTTCTGTAGGTAAGTAAGATACATTCTCTTTGAAGAAGACTAAAACTATCAATCAACTATCATTAGTACTACGTAGTAACTGATATGAATGACATATATACGATGAACAAAATGCATACATATCATGTTGTGATTGATTCTCCATGTATACACTTAATAGAACATTCGAATAGTATTGATTGCACAACATTGTACGAACGATTCACTCAAAATGTTCCTTTTTTTTTCTATGTATACATATATTTATATAATCCTCATTCGTGGTCACATTGTCATTGTCGACATCGATGAATAGATGTTTGCGTGCGTATATCGATAAAAAAATAATTGTATATTACGCCATACATGTGTTCGTACAATAATCTCTTTCTTGTCTTCTGTTAGACAGACAGACAGACAGACAGACAGACGGACAGACAAAGATCAAAATAGAAATCATACAGTGAAGAAATATGGGTGAGCATACTTTTGTTCGAACAATTGTAAAAGACATACAGACAGAACCAGTTAAACAGCAGCTGTAGGAGTTGCTTCAAGTAGCCTACTTCATTATTTCTTTTTTTTTTCTTTTCGTTATGTACTATTAGTCGGTTATATTGTTATTCTCACCAACACTATTTACATAATAAAAATCGAAGAAAGGACAAAACTTGCATCACGAACTGGTTTATCAATGTGAATTTGAGTTTATTAACATGGAATAATTCTTCTTTTTTTCGGCTAAAACAACAATCCAAAATAGCAATAAGAAATAGCACTAATATTTCTTTTCAACTAACGTTTGATTTATTATTGCTAGTAGTTGTTGTCATCTTATCACATAAAGGAAACTGATCCTATGGAGTTGAGCTTTGATGCGTATACTTGTGAAGAGATTCGTCCTTGATCATATGCGTCTTATTCAGCGTTGTTATTCTCAATGATATATAGCGCCTAGTTAATAAAGAAGAAAAAGAAAAATCTCCATACGATGTTCACAGTTTCTATATATAAATACTCGAACATCATCTTCTCATCATTGCTATAATAGGGATATGTATGATGCTGCGCAATATTGTAGTGACCTCGTTTTATGTTCGGGCATATGTATATGCCCGCAAATGTGCAAGTGTTAGAAGAGAAAAGAAAGCGTACCGTGTGCAACCATACACACTCACATAGATCCAATAAGAGAGAAAAGAAATTGTTGAACTAATTTGGCGTTGATGATTACTATAGAGAAAAAAATAGAAGTGTCGGGAGAAAAAAAATTTGTCTTATATGATAAATATTTTTTTTAATTTCAGATGATCAATTCAATTGATGATTCAATGGAATTGATAATTGCTGAACCACTTTCTCTTCCATCTCTATTAGAATCTCATCATTATTATCACGAATCATCAGGTTATTCATCAAAAGAAGCTGAATGTAGTAGTCCGGAAAATAAAACAGATGAAGTTAAATTAAGAATTCATTCTAATAGACCAGTTGACATTCATCGTCGTCGTCAAAAAATATCTACGTCAACAGTACCAACAATTGTGTCAAATACTGGTTCATTGACTATTGATGAATCTCTTCCCGTAAGAATTAAATACTAAAGTCATATGTAATTTGTTTCGTTCTGTCAAAAAAAAAAGAAAAAAGAAAAGGTCACTATTGCGTGAAATGAAGTTTCTCCTCTGCTTTTTTTCATCTCTCTTTTGGAGGTTATCTAATAGTTTGATAACTATTTTTTGTTAACCTTCAAAATACTAATTCATAAATATCTATTCATATATCTAAAGGTCATGATTATCGATAAAACAAATCATCGTCTATCGCCAATCTGTGATGAACAATTTGAACATTTTCCTTCGATTAATTCAACTGATAATAATCGTATGTCAACAAAATCATCTTCATATCAAGCAACACTTTTTGCTCGTCGTCATTTTCATGTATATGATTGGACACGTCTTTCATTTTATGATAATGTTCCAACACCACTTGGATATTTAAGCGAACCATTAACTATTGAAGGTTGTTCACCAACATCAACATCATCAAATGATGATAAAAATTTGTCAATTAATCGAAAAGATTCTGGTCTTGGTACAAGTAGTGCTGAACGACAAATTGATTCAATTTTATTAACTAATAATATTAATCGTTCATTATCTTCTTCATCATCATCATCTTCATTGAATAGTAATATAACAAATACATCATCACGTTTACTAACAAGCCGTAAAATACGTGTTAAATGGCATTCATTTACAAAAACACATCGTCCAAGTTTTAATTCATTAAAGTATCATTTAGGACAAATGTCTGTTGGGCAATTATTAGCATTACGTCGTGCTGCATTAATACGTTTACAAGAATTATTTGATACAACACGAATATTATCAATGAATAAATCAACATCAGTCAATAGAACAATTACATCAAGACAATGTTTACTTGCAACAGCATTTAGTGCTGTGCCTAAATTAATTATTCGACGACATCAACAACGAAAGGTTTGTTTAAATAAATTTTAAAAATATCTATTGATTTAATTATTAGTAAGTGTTTTTTTTTTGTTTTTTTTTCTATCAATCATATAGGAAATTCATCATGAAGTTAAAAAATTAGTCTTTGGTGTTTCTCTTCTTTCCATGACACAACGTACTGGACATCCCGTACCAATAACAATTATTTCAGCAATGAAATATTTACGACGTACATCTATTGATAGTGTTGGCATATTTCGNTCTTTATATATAGACCCGAGCATATTTTTTTTACACTCATTCGTAATCATTGTCTTAATAGGTCAAGTTTAGTGAACGGTAAATTTTCTTTATAAGATTAACGTCAAATAATACAGTTAATCTGTGTATGTCGATCTACACTAGAAAATTGAAAATACTTTCTGGTATATGTCGAATATGTGGTGCTCCTGCTGAATATGCTCATTTTGGTGTTGTATCATGTAATTCATGTAAAATGTTCTTTAGACGAAATGCCAAAACTAAACAGGTCAGATGAATCTTCTCTGCTCATTTAATTCTTGTGTTAATTCATCCAGGCAACGCTCATATGTTGTTTCGATGATCAATGTGAAATAGATATAAATAATCGTCATATATGTTCATCCTGTCGACTTGCTAAATGTTTTAAATATGGAATGAGCACTGACAAATTTCAAGAATCAAGACAGACTAAACCAAAATCAAAAACTTTAGTTAAAGTACACGTACAACAACAACCAGAGAGGGTAAGATTATTAAATCAAACTAACAGAAATAAAATTATTGAAGAGAAATTTATTTTCATTTCTTCAATGTCAATCTGATTATTAAAAAACAATCTCATGATATTGAAATAATAATTTCTAATATTCGTTTATTATATACAATCATCTTTCGACTAAACTATTTCAAATCTTATCAATATAATTAGTTTTCATAGATTTTCATTTTTATATAGCTGAAAAATTTTTCAAATATTTTCATCTTATTATATAGTTCAATATCTGATTATAGAGTAGGCGATAAAATTGTTATCATTAATTGTTTTAAAGTGCTGGCAAATCGAACTTTGTGTAAAGTTTTTTATTGGCATTTTTTTGGTGTGGTTGGATAGAGCTTATCGAGTTACCCACAGCAATGTTGTTTTTAATGGTTTCACACCAGTTCTTATATAAATGATTTCGGAAAAACAATTATCCACAAACTAGTCTAACAGTGAAATGAATGTTTGCAATAAGGATAGAGCATTGTCATATTCTTACATATAGTAGTGTTTTTGTCTTTCCGAAATATTTTATTCAAAACCTTCAAGAAGGTTTGCTACATAGAAAGAAATTAAAAACTGAAGCAAAAGGTAAAATAGTTAAACAATGGATATTTGTCATGAGTAGAACTATAGACAGATCGCATAGGCTTCAAGAGGATATTTTCCCAAAGCATTAACTCTCCATAGTCACGTATTTAAATAATTGTTTTTACTTATAACCAGCATATATCGGTCAAAAAAAACATGTATCGGTTTAGGACAATCTCCTTCCTTTGTTGACAAATAAATTCTTTTTTGTCAAAAACACTCTACTAGATCTAAATATAATTTTTGTATTAACTCTGAATATGATATTCATTTCTTCCGAAATGAAAGTTCTAATCGTAAAACATTCAAAATATGAACCTGGTTTCAATAACTTCTCTTTTTTGCTACATATCGAAAAAGTCGATTTTCTCAACAGTAAAACAGTATTTTTCAAAAAGCATACATAGTTGCTTTTTTTTTTTATTATGCGAAATTAAACCCTCTGACCATGTCGGTCCTAAAGGGACAGTGTAGCTTACAATTAACAAGTTGCACAAAGAGAGAAAAGCAAATATAAGCATAGCAGAGCAAAGCACGGAATATAATGCATGTTTTATGTGGCCATTCAACGAAACATTGAAACACGACCTTCCAACGTGCACATACATTCCAACGAGATAATATACGATGTGTCTAAACAAATTGCTTGTACGATAAGATTAAAGCCAATAAGCTTGTACAATATGTTTTTAAGACTGGGTGCTTGTTCGGGGAGGAGGAATCGAACCTCGTACGCTCTAGTTAGAGTCAGAGACGTACCCCATTCGGCCAGGGCTCCCCAAATGCTGGAAGTTTTTGCAGTTTCTTTATCATAAATTTTCTACAAAGGTTGTCGCAATGTGTCTAAGTTGTATAAGACCTTATGTGTATAAAGTAAGAAAAAAAATGACCCAAGAGGGTCCCTATAAAACGACACAAAACTGATCTTTGTAACTTCTGTGGTTCTTAAATAGCAATCATACTCTTGAAACCAATGAAACCCATTTGCTTCAGTATTAGCAATCGAAATAGAACACAGCCAGTTACATAATAAAAAAAAAAGATTGTTGTTATCTTATAGTAAACTATCGCATAGAAGATAAATAATATTTCTGTATAGATACGACTGAAATAGAAAGAAACCATAGGCAGAGTAATCAACTGAAAATCTTGTAAAAGGAAAAATATAATTTTGCGCACTTCTATGGCATAAATTAATGTATATTGGAAAGGACATGTTTAGCGTTGTTTTAATCTGTGTATTTGAAGTTCAATTTTCCCTGCATATTTCACATGAAATTATTAGAATCGGCTATATATTCGATCGTCTCTTTTAAAAGGCTTCCGTAACACTTACATATACTTTTCTTATTCCATTTATTCTTTGTTCACCATAGTACTCGTACACATACATCTGCGTCACTTCTTAATAAATTTTCATCCTGTAGTTGAACATAAGTGCTTACATGTTACAGAAAATAATCGCTTACTAAAGTAACATGATAAGCTTATGATTAAAATGCTGGTGCCACGGACTCAAAGACAGTAATCACAGAAGAAATAACTTCATCTTTGCGTCGAAGAAGAGTCATGCAAATGAAATCCAGTAGTATATCAAAACAGCAAGATTTAGTCATGTATTTGATGAAAATTAATGTAACGAGCTTGGACCACTGATCTACATTCTTACTGGAGTGTATACAGAAGAATATTCAAACCTCCAGTATCTATGATACTTAAGGTTTGATGGAGTGGAAACTTTTGTCTACTACTATATTTTTCTAGACATTAGTAATGTATCTAAGCAAAGCTAATAAATATCAGAAAACAATGGATTGAGTGTTATATGTTGTTTCAATGAATGAAAACAATATCATTTAGAAAAGATTTAGCATTCAATAAAAAAAAACTTTTCTTCTCGCTTCTATTCGCTTTTACTTTAAATAGAACAATAGTAAATATAAATAAGAAAAAACAATTCAAAACAATTAAATCAAATGTCGTCTCATTTCTTTAAGTCCATCACGTGTCATTGCAGCTGATTTTGGTGTAAAACCAAGATGAATAACAAGAGATTTTTCAAATTCTTCATCATTGCCACTCATCATATATCTGGATAGTAATTGATGAGCCATAATAATTCTTACATAAAAAAAAAGAAATCGTAAGAATTTACGTGGTATATTGTCATACCCTTGTTTTTCACATAAATCTCCATGTTTTGGACCAATACCAGGCACACAAGTCACAGGTTTAATTGTCAATGGTTCATTAGCAAACGAGCACTTAATAATGTGACAAAAGGCTCTGTATTTTGTTTCTATTTCAAAGGATTGCTTACATGTTTCTTTGTACACAGACGTGGTGGATCATCATTACTTGAATTCATTGGTCTAGTTAATGCTCGTTGAGCTAATTGATTTATTATCGCTTTTGTTATTTCTTTCTTACTAAATAAATCATTATCAATATCAACTTTAGGTGCGTGCTGTTGAACAATATGCTCGATCTTATGATCATCTGGTTCAATTGGATCAGCAGTTTCCTTTAATTGCTCAACTGTTTCTTTTTTCAAACGTGGAGCTTTAATTTGATTTTTAATAGCATTTTTCTTTTCATCACCACCACAACAACTTATATTAACAGAGTGTTGTTGAGAATTCATACTTGTTATCCATTCATTAACATCATGTAAAAGAAAATTACTAGGAAGATGAGTTTCTACAATTGGTAATCTGACTATGGATCGTTGCGATACCATTTCTGGAGAGTTTTGTTGTTGTTTTACATTCATGTCTTTACTACGAAAGAATGAACGAACATTGGACGACATAAGATTTAAAGCAGAAAAATAATGATTAAAAAATATTCGTCAATTAAATGAAGACAATCTACAGATAGGTTGCTAAGATGTAATATTAGTTACAAAATATTATTACAAATAACAAATCATTTTAAAAGAAAACTTTTCATCTTTCATCCTTCATTTTTATATCTTTTAAAAGTATTTTGACATATATAATTTGATAAACAAAGCATGGAGTTTGCATACGGACCAAATAAATCAACGAAACAAATAGATTAGACTCAGCCTGTGATCGACAATATTGCATTAGCTATCGTAGAAGCATACAAGTTAGTTTCATCCGCTATAATAGATCGACTATTTATAATTGAGATCTTTGTTTTTGGACGATTTGCTGTTGACCATGTTACATAAACAATCAATTTATGCCTTCTAACTAGTTAAAACTTGAAATTTTGCTTTAGAGATACGAAAGATATTGACAAATGAGATAAGTCTAGTAATATAGAGAACAGAGCTGTCGATCTGCTCTGATCTATGTATATAGCATGTGATAGCCTGAGTCCTACGTTTTCGCAATCAAACTTTGATGTATTATCCTATTTTTCAAGAGTGCTTTGAAAAATTTATTCAATTTTAATAACAAATTCTTGAATTGAACGTCACTCCAATGTTGTAAGATGTGCATTGACTGACATACAACCTTGTTTAAATTCAAAAAAAAAGAAACTGGCTAGTAAAATTTGCTTTCGTGTTGATACAAAAACTGATTGTTACATATAAATGGCCTTACTAGTTAATTATACATATCACTTATTTCCTACATTTTGTTGTACATTTTATTTTAATTCGACGTTGTATGCTTAATCATATGTCGTTTTTACTATCATGATTTCATTTTTTCGACTTGACAAGGCATTGCTGATATGATGAAAAAACTGCGTTAATTCAAGCCAATTGACATGGCCTATCCTGCAGATATTTCGAGTCAGATCAGGTCAGGCCAGAAAAAGTGACATATTGGCAGCTCTAGTAGGAAATATGTTAAAGAAAACTAAATTAAGAAAAAATAGTTTCATTTTTTTGTTATTTATTGTGCGGTTTTTAATGCACGTGTAGTTAGCAAAATAATAACAAAAACTTTGGTATATTTCAAGCACAATAACATATCTATTAATTATGTATTTCAAATATGTATGATGACTTGATAAACAACTTGATAGTTAATATAGGAGAGGTGTCAAAGTAATGAACAACCCTGTCTTTTAGCGAAACCTAGAAACGTCTATGCATATTGACTAGTAAAGATCTGTCTTTCATATAAACAGTTCATCGATAAGTGCCGGTGAAAGTATTTAAATCTGTGTCTACTTGTTACAGTACGTTAAAAAACAAGAAAATACAAATTATCCATAATTTACTGTAAATCAATTTCTAGATCTTATTGGTCATTATTTAAATGAAAAATATTTTGCTAAATTTGATCTATTAATATCATATAACACATTCTGAACTTTGATAAAACAAAAGTACAAATCTCAAAAGGTAATTCTCATCTACATCAAAGACTTTTGTTTTCATTTCTTCCTATTTAATGATGAAATGAACTGTTAAACACATCCTTAAATTTGATTTTATAATGTTAGTTAAGCATAAAAAAACCATCAACCTCTATATCTATTATGATAAATTGAATGTTTTTTTTGTCGGAAAACAAAAAAAAACACTTATAAATTCTCCATTTTTCAAACCATATCTTCAGGTTTGACATATTTTTCAAATTGTTCTTTTGTTAAATAACCAAGAGCCAATGTTGCTTCACGTAATGTTATTCCTTCTTCATGTGCTTTCTTAGCAATATCTGCTGCTTTATCGTAACCAATATATGGATTTAGTGCTGTCACTAAACAAAAATGCAATGCATGACAAAAAAAAAGAGAACAAAATTCTCCTGTATCATATACCTAGCATAAGTGATTCACGCATATAACGTGTTAATATAGATGTGTTCGGTAAAATTCCTGATACACAATGAGCAGTAAATGAATTACAAACATCAGCAAGAATTCTTATTGAATGAAGAACATTTTTAATAATCAATGGTTTAAAAACATTCAATTCAAAATGTCCCATTGAACCACCAACAGTAACAGCAACATGATTACCCATAACTTGTGCAGCTACCATTGTCATAGCTTCACATTGTGTTGGATTTATTTTACCAGGCATAATTGAACTACCTGGTTCATTTTCCGGTAATATCAATTCACCTTCACAACAAAAATCAATATAAAGAATTTCCTATAATAATTGATGATAAATTGCAAAAGATATTTTTTCATACTTCTTCTTGACATAGAACGCTGAAATTTTTATCATATATATATATATATGTATCTAACTAAGATCTTTATTTTTTAAGCAACATGGAGTATTGGTCGCATGGTTCATAGCGCAGTTAATTAATGAACGTATAGAATCAGCAGATAGCAATGCTAAATTTGCTTATGTATGAAGAAATGAACATGTGTGGAGCGTACTGAATAGACCCTGTCGGGTTGGATCCGGATTCGAATCTGAAAATTTTGAATCTGACAGGCTCTAGTACTAAACAAAAAAGTTCTCGAAAAAATCTTTGATACATTATTACAATTAGAAAAGAAAAATATACAAGAGCGAAGAAATTTTCGAAAGAAAAAGGAGCAAAAAAATTGTAGAGGAAATACTTTATCAATTACAATGGGTCATAGGTGTTCAAGTTTCTATCCATCATATGTGTATAAATACCACTGGTCAACACATAAAGATGTCACAAAAATCAAATACGAAAATTCATATATTTTATAATCTTATCCGTGTATCTCAGCCATAATTTTAGTTGGAGAACTAAAACTTTGGAAAATTCAAGATTATCAGTTAAATATATATGCAATAAATATCTAAGTCTTCTACGCCAAGAAAAGTAAGAAAAATTGTAGTTAACAATTTATCATTAGTTATTATGAGACATCTTTCATAATACACGTACCTATGCCACAACGAGGTCCTGAACCCAAAAGACGTATATCATTGGCAATTTTCACTTTAAATAGAAAAATAATATTTTCAAAAGAAAAACAAAGACAAGTAATAATTTTCATCTTACTTAAACTGACAGCTAATGTATTAAGTGCACCACTTACTTCAACCATTGTATCATGTGTAGCTAATGCTTCAAATTTATTTGGTGCATCAACAAATCGTAATTGAGTCAGTTCATTTAAAGTTTGTGCCACAAACTTTCCAAAATTTTTCGGTGCATTAATTCCAGTACCAACAGCTGTTCCACCAATAGCTAATTCATATAAACGTGTTTCACAAGTTTTTAAACGTTCAATTGCCATAGCAACTTGATGTGTATAAGCAGAAAATTCTTGTCCAAGTGTCATCGGTACAGCATCTTGTAAATGTGTTCGACCAATTTTATAAATCAATGAAAATTCTTTGGATTTCTTTTCTAATTCACTATGAAGATATTTCAATGCTGGATATAATTGACGATTTAATTCAAATACAGCAGCTATATGCATAGCTAAAAAAAAGACGAAAAATAAAATTAAAAGTTTTAGGAAAATAGAAAATCCATTAATGATATAATTCTACCGGTAGGGAATGCATCATTCGAACTTTGACTTTTATTCACATGATCATTTGGATGAACAGGTTTCTTAGTTCCCATTACACCACCAAGAATTTGTATTGCTCTATTTGAAATAACTTCATTAACATTCATATTTGTTTGTGTACCTGATCCTGTTTGCCAAATACTTAATGGAAAATGTTCATTCAATTTTCCATCAATAATTTCATCACATGCTTGTGATATAGCATCGGAAATTTGATTCTCAAGATCAAATTGTTTATTTACTATTGCACATGCTTTTTTTAATAAACCGAATGCTTCTATCAATGGAAATGGCATACGATCTAAAAAAAGTCAATTTGAAAGAAAAAAATGACCTACAAAATCTTTTTTTGTATTTACCAGTTGGTAAACCAATATTAAAATAAATCATTGAACGAGCTGTTTGAGCTCCATAATAATATTTAGATGGTACTTCAATCGGACCAAATGTATCTGTTTCCGTACGTGTTTCTGTAGTTGATTCCGAAACATGATTCATTTTTATGACCTTATTGTATTAAAGTATTTAGGCTCTTTCGTTTCTCTTTTCTTATTATGGATGAATCATGTATATGTTTACCTGATTATTTGTTGGTTACAATAAGAGGTGGCGGCAAAGGACATTCGATTTTATTCATTTTAACTATCTAGATAAGTATTAGAAAGAAAACAAGTCTATATTGTTTATTTCACTTGAAAGAAATAGAGAAAAATTCTGTATGTAAGATATATAAATAATAACAATACAAATATTAAAGATTACACAGCATATAAGAATTAATTAGAGAAAACAGTAAAAAGAAAAATTTATATATTCAAACAAATGTTTGTGATTGAGGAAAACGACAAGTAAGTTGCCCAATAATATCTTCATAACATTGTTTATAATGTCACACATTCCCCTTTGTACGTTTGCGTTGAATGGCTAATTCTCTACCTTGCACAGCAACTACTTCTAAATTAAATTCGAATACAATTTTATCCCAATCATCTTCAATAAATACATCATAAATAAAACGAATTCTAAATATTTAAAAAAAAATATCTGTATATTTATTTTAATTATATAATAAACTTAGTCTGCCCTTTTTCTTAATATTTAAGCTTGGACGCGTCCAATCTCGGATCTGACATTCGCCTAGGCCAATCTGAAATTGGACGTAATCTCAGTTTGGACGCTGACATATATATGTTGCATTCATAGTGAATATTCATATAATTAGTTCAATTCTTATTATTAACAATAATTAAAAACATTGGAACATTTGAAGATTTATTCAAACTTCAATCAATTATTAATTATTCAGTATATATTTATTCTTGTTTATTAATATGTAAAAAGACTTTAACCATTGAATATTTTCTATGACCAGTAATTTAACCTGTTATTCCATGAACTAAGGATGTGAAATTGATTGTGAATGATATTCATCGTTCATAACACAAGTTGGAAAATAAAAAAAAAAGATTTTCTCTCACAGAAATAATATCAAAATAAATAAAATCAGTAAGCTTCATAATTTTTCTGCTGGCAATATGTCGAAATTAAAAGAAAACTTTTTTTCTTTTCCCATAGAATCAGATATAAATTACTTGTTTTATTAATGCCGACATCTTCTCATTGTGCATCAAATAGAGAAAAACAGTTGTATTATCTTATTGGATACGATAGAAGTTCGTTTTTCATCTCTGTCTGATAGTATGAATAATCGTTCGATATCTGTCGTATTTCATGTGCTTACTCAATTCAGTGAATAGTAGTTAGTTAGCTTGCCACTTTCACTTGATCTTAGCTGGTTTCATTATGAATTAGAGAGAAGAGCGAGCATTTTTTTTTTCAGATATTCAATTAGATCTTCTTTCGAAAAAGAAAATGACAAGCAACCATGATGATTTCAATGAAAAAGTAATGTATATTTCTAAATCATAATTTTAAATGTGAAGCCGTTTTTTATTTTGATGATGCAGATAGTAGAATTAATTATCAACAAACAACAACATGAGGATGATATTAAGATCTTGGAAACACAAGAAGAATTAGGTAATACAATTGATTTAACGATGCTTCAACTTGAAATAACTTGGCGAAATCTTGAAGTTCAAGCTATGCAGGCAAATATTAATTTTCTTCGATATAAACAAGACAAGCTTGATAGCTTACGTGAGTTTCTCACGGCTTCTAGGTAAAAGAAAATAATCTTTTCATTCTGTTTTAGGATCAACTCACGAACAAATTGAATTAAGTGAAACTATTCAAAAAACTTTGAATTGATCATTAAAAAGTATATCAACTGATGATAATCTATACAGTATTTATCAAAAAGAAAAGAATAAAAGAAATAAAAATTATATTCTTTCAATAGATAAATGAAACCGATAAACACAACAATCTATCTTAGCCTATAATCAAATGTGCATGAGTCATCAAATCATAGTCCTATTGGAGATTCACTAATGCAGTTGGAATGAAAATCATTCTTAAAAGTTAATGTTTAAACCATATGAAGTATACGTATATGATTGATAGAGATTATTTATCATGTTATATTGCTCGAATAAAGTAAAATCAGGATGTTAAACTAAAAACTAAAGAATAGATTCAATGACATCACTTATTTGTATTTATTTATGAAATGTTATTCATAATAATTTAAAGCGTTGATAAAATTGATGATGATATTTTCACATTCCATTTCTGTAGGAACAGAGAACCTAAATCAGCCTCAGATAAAAACATAATCATAAATGTATACATACTTCGATATGTTTAAAAATGCCTAGAAAACGGTTATATGATATGCGTTCTCGTTCGTTGAGAACAGATAATGATGAGATATCTAGTACAAATGAAGATGTTCACTTCTGTTTCACCCATAGCCAAACTGTCATTAAAGCCACCTCTTACAATTAATATATCTTCGATTGTGTCTTTAGATTAGATGTTTTTTCTTGTCGACATTTTCTTATATAGATTTCATTCGATCTTTTTCTTTTTTTTCCTTTTTTCGTCAATTCATTTCATTTCTCATTAAAATATCAATGTTAAAGAAAAGGAATATACTCGTCTTCTGTGTTCATATTTATCTAACAACAATACCCGTCATCCACTCTTTTAATGATATGTCTCTTTTCGTCATACATGATCGACGTAAAGAAATTGATATAAGAATCGTCAGTGAAAATATATAAGCCATTCATTGATAGCGATAGCATTCGTTCAATACAACAGTTATTCATAGTGATTCTTCAAATGATTGACTATTTTTGGAGTTGGGATTTGATTGCTGAATCTGCTTTAAGTAAGTAATCTAAAAAAGAAAAAAATCCATTTTTTTTATTTCGTTTGCTTATTGTAAATAGTAGATATTATTCACTTTTCGTTATCATATTTTTATCAATGAAAAATTCAATAATTATATTAACAGTCGATTTATAAATATTGTTTTATTAAGAAGTCACGAAATGAAACTTTTTTTCCTTTTCATAGATTCCAATCATATTTATATGTGCATAAAAAGACAGATAAATGCGTTTTATTCAGTTAATTAGTCTCTTTGACAGTTGGTAACGCAATAGATAAGCGTCAATTTATTGCTATTTAACCAATATATGTTGATTGTTATCTTCCTAATGATAAGAACCAATTGACAATTCTTTTCCAATAATGGATGATGTCGAAAATATTTCGGAGTGCGACTATTTCTCACTAAGTACTCATTTTATATAAAAATGATCATGTCATTTTATTTTCAGTTTATCTAACAGCTTGCTAATTTGAACATGAATAGGAAAAGGCTTCTTACAACAATACATGTCATTGGTTTACAATAAGATTTCGCTCTAGAGAACAAAATTGAATTTAAAGTTTTTAATCGATTTTGTCGAATTGTTGACCTGTAAAAAAGTTATCGAAAGAAAATGATATTGCTTTTTTGTTGTTTATCTTGATAGAAATTTTTCATGATTAATTCTATGATCTAATATATAATAGATAAAATATTTAGTTTTTAATAGATAATGTTCGAAGGACAGAAGGAAAATATCTTTTCTATAATATGAAGTAAAATTCAAATGAATAATGTTGTTTTGTCATATAAGCCATTACTGAATGATAATTGGATAGAAACGAAATCATTGAATTTTTACTTTCTATATAAAAGTAAATGTATGACAACGATTAGAAATAAATCTTAATCGATTTCAGTTGTTGACGGACTTTAGGTTCGTTTGTATTTAATTAGATACATATTTTGTAAGAACATATATGTAGACTTTCATTTTATTTAGAATTAAAAGAAGTGCAAAATAAACTAACCAATGAACAACTTGAATATTTAAATCAATGTGAGTACATTTGTTAAATTATGATTTTTCTTTAATATAATAATCGAATAAATTAGATTATAGAATTAAAAAAATGCCTACACCTGATGAACTTAAATTAATATGCAAAGAATGGAACATTAACAAAAGTTCATTTTTTATCGATTTAGAGGCTAGTAAATTTTTTTCTTGTGTCTAATCCATAGTTACATTTGTTGTTGACATTTAGGATTGGTTTTTTGGTCGTCGGATGGCTGAGCGAGAAGTTGAACAACGGTGCAGATTCGCAAGGAAAGCTGGTGCTTAGTTCAAATACGACTCTAGTTATTAAAAGTTCTTTGTTTCTCTTGATTTTTCGTTGATGTCAACGAATAAATCTTTTATTTTATGTTATCTACGATAAAATAAAATCATTGTTGATAGTTTGCCATTTAATCGTTATTGTAGTTGTTTTAGAAGGAAATTCAAGGGTAGAAAGCAAGTATCCAAGTTGATTACTCTTAATTAAGCATACTGATCGAAGATCAGATTTTCATCGATACGATTAATTTCTATTGATTTTTAAACATAATTATATACGAGCTTATCTAGAGAATGTCGCAAGAACTCGCTAGTTAACAAATCCAAAACAATTTATATTTCGCTGTTAATTGAAAATTCTATTAAAAAAACGATTTTCTTTTCTAAATAACATTTCTAGTTAGAATGTGAGTGGTTGTATATGTGGTAAGAAAATATTCTCATGCACATTAATTCTCACAGTCACACTACCATCCATACGGCCACCCTGATAGATCTTCTTTCGAGCATAAGTTTATCTTCGAACTTAACGAAAAATAAGAGGCAGCTTATATAAGAGGGTCTTGGCAGAGCAAAAAAAAAAAACCCCCCCCCCCCCCCCCCGGTCGCGCCACCCCTCACTGTAAGAAAAAGAGTAGCATCATAAATCTTTAGAAGACTTATGATAGTGCAAAGTGTGATAAATCTTTTAAATATTACAAAAATCCGATAGCCATGTATAAAATAATTCAGAAGGGCTTTTGAAAATGTCACAAACACTAAAAAGCGTTCATTAAACATTGTAGTTCCATAAGTTCTTTACGAATTTACAATTCTACGCTTCTTTTCTACAGTGACCTGCCGCTCGCTAAACCCAAAATAAAAAAAAAATAGTTTTTATAAATGTATCCCTATCGTTACATGTATTCCTCGAATACATCTAAATTTAAAAACAAAGATTTCATTTCACAAATCAATGCTTATCATTAGGTCTCATATTGAGATTGAGGGTGTTAATCTATTGTATTGTGTATGATAACAAAGAGCAAGTATAAATAACAAAACTTGTACACTCACCTTTTTTTGAGGCTGAAAAATGGCGCTCACATTTTTTAGTTGCATTATACTAATAGAATGCAGACTAGATGAAATATCTTCGACAGATCATAATTGTTTTCCAACGTAATTGACGTCGAAACAGTCGATATCTCTTATTTCTGAATTTCGAATAGAATTCTCTTTTCTTTTTTATATACTGACAGTGTTTTGTTTTTCTGTTGGAGTGATAATTATTCGCTCGTTTTTTTCTTTTACGTATTTCGTTTATCTTATTTTAAAATTTTGTATTATTCTGCAAATTGTATTAATTGACTAATAAACCTGTTATAAAGATTTATTATATCTACATCAACATTTCTCGAAAAACTATTATATTTATCTAGATAAGCTCAAAAACTTTATTATTGATTATTTTCTAAAGTTATGGGTTGATCAAGTGAGACACTTTATCTTGATTTTTTTATGACTGAAAAATTAATTTATTATTGACCATCCTCGCCATATATGCGCAAATATCAAAATATACACTATATAACATACTAAAGAATACATTCACAACCATTTAAAGCTTGAGAAAAACTTTGAAATGTTCTGGTGAACTCAAAGTCTTGTTATTTGATAATGTTCAGCTGCTCTTTCTCATTGGTAAGAAACTCAATAAAAGGGAGGGTATGGGTGTGGGTGTGAGTGTTGGTGTCTAATGAATAACGCATCCACATCCACACCCACACGCACACCCACACACCCACATACACACCCACACACCCACATACACACTCACACACCCACATACACACCCACCCACACTTAATAGATTGTTCAAGTAAATCATATAGTTGATTAGAATCATCAAAATTTAACGATGTTATATCAGCTGTTTCCTGGAATTTTAATAGATAAAATACATTATGATGATATCGTCAATAAATTATATACCCAAGTTTTTCTTGGTTTATTTGTACTAATTCGTTTTGATGTAAGAATTTGTGTAATAGTGTTTAAACCATCACATTCAACACTACTAAATAATGAATGAACTTTTTTATTTTGACGTTGTGGTGTTAAATATATACATCTGAATCATCACTGTCAATTGCGCCTACTGAAAATGCTCTACAGAAAAAAAAATACATCATTACTTACAAGCTATTAGAAAATAAGGAATGTGTCGAAAGATTACAGAATTGGACATGCTATTTGTTCCTGAATGAGCCTCGACTGCAATTATTAAAAAAAGGTTATTTTAGCATCAACTGAAGTCTTTCAGAAGGACGAAGCACCTATCAGTCTATCTTTCCTAGAGATGTACGGGACCAAGTTTAGTCCTGGGACCGGAACTGAACATTATAATTAAATACTCTACGATTTTAAGCGATTTATCTTATAAGTCATATCAATTAGAACACGATTCAAAAGAGATGACCCATTAAGTACTAATCATCGATTAAATAAAAAAAAAACAAGTATCGAAGAATTTCTTTTAGATAGGATAGGAATTGATTCTGAAAGTTTTCTCTAGACCGAGACCAAAATAACTTGGTCTCGTACATCTCTAGTCTTTACAGAATCAAGAGGACAGTCATCAGAAATTATTACCTCACAGTTTGATCTTCCGACACACATTGGCCATCGGGCATTATTCAGTGAAAGAAAATATGTACTTTAATGCTGATGCAATCTTTGAATCATCAAGATAATCGTCATCAACACCATCATAAAAAGATATTGAAGCAGTAATACGATGATCTATAAAGAAAAAAGCATTAGAAGATTTTCGTTCTGAAAATAAAATCTCATAATCTTTCTTTTCACTAATTTGTCTTGATCCACCAAGTGATTCAACACATATAACAGAAGCCGTTGACAATTAGATGATCTAAAGAAAAAAAGGCTTATATTTTTCTTCTTTGGTTGCTCTCTAAGTTTTACTTGATTATTGGTGTTGTTTGTTCTTGTTGTCGTGTTTGTGAATTTTCAATATTTTCTTTATTTGGAGATTTATGATTACAACATTCTTGATTTGTTCGTATCGTTGATCTCATTCCATTTGTAATTGGTACATGTGTTTTATCTTGATGAGATAAAAGAAGATCGGCTGGTGGTGGATGTTGATAATTAATGTGTGATCGTGGATTTGTGTCTTGATTTTTTTTTCACGAAGTAAACTTGGCGAAATAAGACTCAACTATTCCTGATGTCCATTCGCAGTTTGAGAAGTGACATGTTGTGTACGGTTACGTGAAAGACGTATTGATTTATTTTGTGACTTAAGATTCAATAAAATAAAATATGTTGCTGTCATATAATCGTACCGTTTCTAGAATAGAGAGCAAACCGTTTTTTTGGATAGATTTATTGATTCAATAAAACTTATTTGACTTACATGAGAAAGTTCTTGTACAATATCATTTACAGACCGACCATAATATAAAGACATTTCACTTACACATGATAGATCTAATTTATTCTATGAAAAATCAATGATACTGATTAAAGAATTGCAAAAACTCAAATATACTGGATAGATAGATTGCCATTTGACAGGTTTGGTATAAACATGATTCATAAGCCATGGATGACACAGAAGATCATCAATACGAATTCGTTTAGTCGGATCAACTTGAAGCATAAGATGAAGTAATGCAACACTTTCTTGTAATAAGTATGATGGTATATGGGAGATACCATTCTGAATAAGAGAGGTAATCGTTATTAAATTCCAGTTATTTTGCATTATGTTGTTTGTAATATTATTTGAATTTTAGTATATATTGTTGCTATATTTTCATTATCAAATGGAAGAGTATCACATAACAGTGCGCAAAGAAGAACACCAAGACTCCAGACATCAGTCTAAATTTAGAAATCAAAGAACAAGTAAGTTGCTTTTCTTCATAAGATTTCAATATCTATGAATATAAAGCTTGAAACCAATAGTTCTGACTAAAGACATACACAAATCAATCATAAATACTATCTTTTCTACAATTAAAAGTGTACGTAATGACAAAGATAAAATATTCTAATCAAACAGCAATGTTAAGAATAAATTTCAGAAACTTTAAACTAATTCAAGTTTACATGGATAAAGACAAAAAAAGAGAGTAAACGGTTACTTTTCTAATATCATCTATTTCTTTTGCTAGGTGTCACATTTATTCGTCAGGTTTGTTTTTTCTTGAAGTATGATTAAAATGTATCTTCGATTTATTTTCAACATTATCAGTATACAAATGAATATGAAGATTTCATCGAAAATAAATCTAGTGATATATCTGACAAGGACGAATAAATAACACTACAAAATGCTCATGTCAAATAGTTACTTTTTAGAATAATCTTTGGTGGAAGAAATATCTCTTCATCTGTAGAGATCTCTGATCTTCTTTTAACCGTACAGTGATGACCAAGATTGTCACACAAAATTCACGTCTTTTTGTATTTTATTCATTCTCTATTTTAAAACTTGCAATAAGATAAAAGTTCATCTTACCACATCACATCGATAATTCGTTCCAGTAATAATTTTCTATATAGGTAAGAACTACAAATATAGTAATGAATTTTAGTGAATTTGATGTAATATGTTTATTGGTGCAGCATATGCTGGACTACCACAAGCTGTACCTAAATATGCCAAATTAATGCCGCTCTACAAATAGATATTATATAAAAATGAATTGATTTTCATGTCAGCATTACTTTTGGTTGAGCACATAAGCCAAAATCAATTATTTTTAAATTTTCTCTGCAATCAAGTAATAAATTCTGCTAGAATAGAGATGAACTCGTCGACTTTTGTTGGTCAATATCAGATGCATACTGGCCTAAGATCACGATGACAATAACCTTTTTTATGCAAATAAGCAACAGCTGAAATAGTTTGACGAAAGAAATATCGAGCTTGTTTTTCGTATAGACAATCCGATTGACGATATAATCGAATTATTCACCATTACCAAAATACTATAACAATAAATATAAGAAAAAAAAAACATTAATCTAATCGAAATAATAAAACAAAACAATTCAAGCAAAATACTTTTAAGACTAGAAAATAATATTCATTTATTTCAATAACTTGATAAAGTTGACAAATATGTTAATGGTGCAAATCTTTCGTTGCTTTAATTTATTTCTAGCGCAATACGAGATACATCACTCTAGTATAGAAATATTCAAATGAATGAAATAAAACAACAATTGAGTATGACAAACAATTGCTTACGCCTAATTTAGCTTTATCAATTCTCTTAATAGCTACAAATTCACCTGTAAGTAAATGAATTTCTTGTTCTACTTTTTCAAACCCGCCATTACCAATTGTTTTCAACAATTCATTATAACCAACTAGTGACGGATATATAACTTGTGGCATTTTGTCACGACAAAATCGATATATATAAATGAATCACACACAAATATTTCTTGTTAACAGTGACAAAACCATCAAACTATAAAGTAGAATGAATGGACATGCTATCTATACATGTTTTTTCTTTTTCTTACAATCAACTTTTTCCAATCCAATCGAATATATCTCTAATTATTCAATTTATTATCTGTAGAGGACATCTGACGTAATTTTTAAGATAATGCATTGTGACCATCTCTATTATTTGTTGATTGTTTTTGAAATGCATGTCTTCTGTTGTCTCTGAGTAGAATGTAGAAACATTAGTAAACATCATATGGCCTCTTTTTCTTAAAAAACCGATACTCGGAATTGATACATTTATTTATAATACGGATTCCTCAGATCTTGTATCTGATAGTTCATATTTTATTGGTAGAATAAACAATAGACATTTCACAAAAAATAGATACTTCAGTAATTCACTATATTACTACAAAGGAATATATTTCTAGCATAGGATGAAGTAGATAACTGTGAAAATTAGCATTAAAGTGAAAGCATTTCCCTAGTTCACTTTCTCTAGAGAAATCCTCGAGAATTCCGTGGGGAATTTATGAAAATGTGCAGGAATGCATTCTCTGTTTTGTTTTGCATGTATAGAAACATATGAGACGATGAAAATTCAGAAAGAAATAGTTTTTTTTCCCTCTTAAGACTAATTTGTTACTAAGTGACACATAGCATGTTGACTCTTACATGAACTCTCCTCAGTGATAGCTCACTTTTGTGACGTGAGGTAATATTTGATCTGAGCGACTCATCCACTAAAACGAAGCTTACTAAACGATTTATGTGGAAGACTCTTTGAAAGAATGACAAATGCTTTCTATAAAGTGAGTGTCGGTTAATAAAAACTTAACAACAAGAAAAGTTATTTTGAAAACGAGCATAGTGGTCCACTCTAGCGCCTATCAGTTTTTTAAGAACTCTCTAAGAAACCATTAAACTTTCTGAGAAAGTTTCCAGAAATTCTCAGGAATCATGCAAATATTTTCCTAGGACAAGTGAACTAGGATTGCTGAAAATAACCGAATCAGACTAGAATACAATTAAATACATTAGAAAAAAGCACTTTGAAATTTAGAACATAGTGAAAGGTCATTAGTACTGAGCTGATCAAGATAAGTATCATCAACTGTAGCAAAATAGATCTTCAAAGTGAAAGAAGATATGATAGTACAGTATTTACACAGAGTGACGAGTAGAATACATTATCACAAAGAAGTTTTCATACATCATAATTTAGAAGACTTATCATGACACTATTTTCATCAGTTAAAACGAATATTGATACTAGATGGGAAACATTCTCATTAATTAATATACAACAGGACTAATCAATAGTAATAAAATAACCAATTATATCATCATCATTATCTTCCTGTACCTTCAAAGGTTACAAAGGTTTGTCAATTGATGAAGCTTATTCGGACTGCAAAATTTCTTGCTTTTGGTTGTTTTGGCAGGTTGAATGCAGAATTGGATTTCATAAGTTCTTATTGTTGTTGTAGTCACTTCATATTCGTAAAAAGAATATAAGTGTCCATATTATTTCCAAAACATAGCAGTAAATATTTACTGATTAGAGTAAAACTAATTCTAGCATGATTACATTCTCATACGTTAAATATGTTCCGTAAACTAGTTTCATAATTTGACCTTGTCTTTTTCTCTGTTATTTTAATAGTTGTCTGTTTCAATAGGATTAAACGTCAAGAAAGCTTTCGTTGAGCAACGAGCAGGTGTCTTCAATTGTTTTTGCTGTTAAATTTGAACTTTGAAAGCAATAAATAATTTCGTTTCTTTAAGTTTAATGCATCTTCAAATGAAATCCATGTAACAACTATTATTGAATTTTCATAGTGTCTGATGCTGAGAAGTTATACATGAATTTATGAACACTGTCATAAAGAAGCGCATCATATCGTAGACGATCCTTGAATGTTTTTCGAGCACGTGCTTTATAACGAGTGATTCTACATTGTAGCTATTCTTTCTTTCAATATCTTATTAAAGAAATGTTTAAATATAATCTATTTAAAATTACATGTGAAGAAGAACTATGATAATATGATATACATCTTTTTTCGAAATACATGGTTTACCGTCCGTGGATTTGCTGTTCGTTGATTATTTGGACGAAGAGAAATGAACGTTGAGTGTAGATGTGGGATGAGGGTCTAGATATAGGAAAGACGGTCAGCGTAACGTACTCTTATCCCATCGTTATCTTCACACTCACCGCTGCTGTTCGTTAGCTCGTTTCTTTTTCACTGAATAAACAAAGGAAAGTAAACCTCCACACAAAAAAGTGACTAACCAAAATGTATTATTGTGCTGTCAACCGATAGGAAAGCTGTGGACAGTAAATTATGTCAAGCCTTCATTTGACTGCAAATATCATTACAAGTGCAGTAAAACATCATATTTCTCCGTACTGATTGAGTTTGGCTATAATCGAAATGCAAAACATAAATATTAATTATTTAACAAAATTGAACACTATGTGCGGTCAAGGTTGGCTGTTTTTCGAATTATAATCGGTTAGCATTTTAAGAATTATGTTGAGATCAAAATTGTCTGTCTTTAATCCAACAGCAATTATAAAATAGGGCACATAGACTGTTGAAATGAATGTCTCTTTTGGTGAAATAATCGATGATTTTTTTCTGTTGTTTTTAAAAGCATTGTAAAATTGATTCTTCGATAAGGAACTATTATCCTTTTTACACGAGTGAAAAAACTGATACCATTTTCGATGAAATGTTTTTCAATTTAGAGGTCTTTTACCATTTCAATTCCGAATTGAATCAAAATCAATTTTAACATTTTCAGAATAACATTACGAATGAACATACCGACTTTCTCAGAATTAAAATTGTCCTTCCTTGTAGAAAAGACTCGAATTATCAATTATTCTTAATAGGACTAACTAGATATTTTGCTGTCATTTTTTTATGATCTTTAACTTTATATTACTACTTTTTTCACATTTAATTCACTTTTTTATTTCGTTCCTGTTTCTATCAAAACACGCATAACTTTTTTTTCATCGTAATAAGATTGTCCACGTGCTACTTCGCTCAATTTTCTCTTCTACTAATATTCAAACTAGTCGATGACTGATAGCGGTTATCCCATGCAAAATTCGTTCTAGATGAATATCATATATCTATAAGGAGAAAAAAAAACAAGAGTTTAGTATTTTACTAAGATCTTTATTGTAGTATCATATTTATTTGAATCCGTTTTTTGTGGAACTTGAGTTATAACTTGCAAATTTGATTAGCTTACCATTTTAAAAGATCTCGTGTTTTGAATCTCAGAAAGACAACAACAAACAATAACTTAATATACAATGTATTGATAGTATGTAGAGTTGGTTTTTCGTAAAGGTGTACTTAATTGTTTATGAAAGAAATAGAAACAAAATAAAAAATAAAACAAACATTGCAAGATATTTCATAAAGGTGGTATACAAGCTCGGCAGGATTTCCTGATCTCTAGGATTGATCCGAGTAAAATACAAAAACGTAACCCTTCTAGCATCTATGATTGTCATGTCAACAGTAGAGAAATAAATAGTTTCTTTTCCATTTCACTTCATTCACGTTTTTTTAAATATTAAAAAGAGCGACAGCCATCTCAGATCTGAAACAGTGGTGTCAAATAAAATATTTAAATTGAAAACAAAAACAGCTTCAGTTTCAACGTATAAAAAAGTTATCCTCAAAGTATTCTGAGATCAATCATTTGTATATATATATCACATTGATGGATCCTTCAAATCTCGTGATTACATAGAACTTAATCGAAATTGACTGTTTGAATGGTAGCTTTCAGAACGAGTTTTATGTAGAACTTTTTTAAATTCTATTTTCTGTTAACCAGTTATGAAAAATTGTGTCTTCAAATAAAATGCTATATCGTAAAATTGTGAATATAATTAAATGTTGTGCGCTTGGAAAAACAATTATGAATAATCAAGACGAAATTAAAGAAACTTTACTTCATAAACTTCGAATATGTAAGTGTTAGAACAATCATTTCAAACCACGAGATCGCTTTTGTTCAATTTGTCAATTTTCGCGAGAACAAAAACCGATATCCTTTATTATTTTTTCCTTATTGTATAAATAAACCTAATTTTGTTTAATTCGTAATAAATTTTGACATAAAAATTTTTGTGCATCACAATATGTGTACAAATAGGTACCTGCATCGTGTAAAAGAACCTCTCTTTCTTAAAGAAAAACATGTATGCAAATGTATTCATGGAATGAATGTTATTTAACGCCCTCTCTCGAGCTTAAATGCTACGTATAATTTCAATCCAATTGTGAAAATGATTGATTGAAGAAAGAATGAATGGAAATAATATGCAACAAGGATTGCTTTTTTTTGTCAAGCAATACTATTGACATGAATAATATATTTTCAGGTAGCACCACTTTCTAAGCATTACCCAGGACGAACAATCCGACAGTTGGATCTCGTCGGATCCGATAGGGTGAGTTCGACCTGGGTATGTTTCAGCGTACTAGTGATGATTCAACTGTATTTCAATTCCGTGCGTTCTTTCGTTCTACAGTTTTATGAAAGAAAACAATTGAATTTTCATGTTTTTTTTCTTCAAACACATATTTACGATACAGAAAAGAAATATATGATCTACTGATTGATGAAACGAAGACGCTTATTTTTTAGTGGTTATTTCTAAATGCACTGTGTGAATATTTTTTTTAAACTGGGCCAAATATTAAAATTTATATATATTTAGAATCAGCGTAAAATGAGGAACAAGGTGTAATAAATATTGTGCTGGAACTTTATAGAAAATGAATAGGTGACGCTAGCTGATCTTTTTTCATGATGAAGGGTTGCTATAAAAACGTTATGGAATCACTGAAATATGTATAGATATCAATGATGTTGTTATTGAATAGTGTGAGTAGACATTA